GTTGCGCGCGGTGCGCGGATGCGGGCGTAGGCGTACGCACGGTATGCGGTACGCGTGCATACTTGGTGCACCTTGTGTGCATTCTTGACTTGACTTAACTTATTGTTTCGAACTTAACTCCGAACATGCTTAATCAATAATTCAATCCCGATTAATAATGTCCGTTAATAAAGTAAACGGTTCGGAAATTAATTATCAAATTTGACTCGGTTAATAATTAACCGGATAAACTTTTTGACTTAAAGTCGAACGTATTTGCTGAAAATGAACGGAATTAATAGAAGATAATACATCACTTATATTAATAAGAAGTTGGGTTATTACAATCTACCCTCCTTAAAATATTTCCGTCCTCTGAAATATGAAACAAAACGTATATACATGACAATATACATATCAGAACTGAAAGTCGGGAAAACGAGCGCGAATGTCAGCCTCCTGCTCCCAAGTGGCTCCGTGGCGATCCCACTGAATACGTACGAGGGGAACATTACGCTTCCGGAGCCGTCGAACTTGTCGGTCCAACACAGCCACCAGTCGCTCCTCGTAAGATAAGTCTGGATGAATCTCAATATCAGTATGAGGAATGACATGATCGGGGTCGCACACGTACTTGCGTAGCATAGATACATGAAAGACATTGTGAACACTGGATAGCTCGGGAGGTAAGACTAAACGATACGCAACATCGCCCACTCGCTCAAGTACTTCGAACGGGCCAATAAACCGAGGGTGTAACTTCCCTCTCTTCCCGAATCGAACAACTCCGCGAAATGGACTAACTCTGAGAAAACGTTCTCGCCAACCTCGAACTGAATATCTCGTCGATGATGATCGGCGGTTGATTTCATTCTGATCTGAGCTGTTCTGAGTCTCTGCCGGATCAACTCGACTTGCTCGACTGTCTCCTCGATCAGCTTCAGACCGAGTACTCGACGTTCTCTGACGTCGTCCCAATAAAGAGGGGAACGACATTTACGACCGTATAATGCCTCATAAGGAGCCATCTGAATAGAAGAGTGATAACTGTTGTTGTACGCAAACTCGACGTACGGCAATAAAGACTCCCATTTAGCACCCCTGTCAACAGTCAAAGCACGCAACATATCCACCAACGTCTGTATAGTCCGCTCCGTCTGTCCGTCAGTCTCGGGATGGTAGGCTGAACTGAAGGCTAACTGTGTACCCATTGCCTCGTGTAAACTCTTCCAGAATCTGCTGGTAAATCTGGGGTCTCTGTCTGACACGACAGTAACAGGTACTCCATGGAGTCGAACGATCCCATGGACATAAATCTCAGCCAACCGATCCAAAGACATACTCATCGATACTGGCAAGAAGTAGGCAACCTTAGTCAATCTGTCAACCACGACCAAGATAGCGTCGTGATGTTCAGACGACCTCGGTAACCCCGTGACAAAATCCATCGCAACCTCCTCCCACTTCCACCTCGGAATCGCCAGTGGTCGTAGAAGTCCTATCGGACTCTTATGCTCGGCTTTGACTTGCTGACAGGTCAAACATCTTCTTACAAAGTCGGAAACATCTTTCTTCAATCCCCTCCACCAAAAACGACCCTTTCAGGTCATGGTACATCTTTGTACTTCCTGGATGGGCTACATAGGGTGCAGTATGGGCCTCAGATAGAATCTCCTTTCTCAATGCTTCGACTTTAGGCACCACAATCCTGCCACGAAACTCCAAGGCCCCATCAGTGCCTCGGTGAAAACCCTCGACGCCTCCGACACGAACCTTGGCATCAATCGTACGAATAAAATCATATGAAGCCTGCTCTTGCCGGATTCTCTCCCTCAACGTCGGCTGAACCTGCATGGAACTCACACTCCCCAAACTGGCTGTAGGAAGTGCATCAACTAACTGGATCTGCATCCGGGCAAACTCATGAATCAACTGGCTCTGCTGAGTAACAACGTACGTCAAGTCACCCTTCACCTTGCGGCTTAGGGCATCAGCAACAACATTCGCCTTTCCCGGATGGTACTGGATCGTACAATCGTAATCCTTGACGAGCTCTAACCAACGGCGTTGCCTCATGTTGAGCTCCTTCTGAGTAAAAATATACTGCAAGCTCTTATGATCAGTAAAGATTTCGCACTGACCGCCGTATAGATAGTGTCGCCAAATCTTGAGGGCATGAACAACTGCAGCTAATTCCAAGTCGTGCGTCGGATAGTTCTGTTCATGTGTTTTAAGTTGGCGTGACGCATAAGCAACGACCTGGCCATCTTGCATAAGTACACATCCCAAACCCTGCCTCGAAGCATCACTATAGATGGTGAAGCTCCTAGAAGGATCGGGTATAGTCAACACCGGTGCGGTCGTAAGCCTCCTTTTTAGCTCCTGAAAACTCGACTCACAACGGTCTGTCCACTCAAACTTTACAGACTTCCTCGTCAGCTGAGACAAAGGGAGTGCAATCTTTAAGAACCCTTCGAAAAATCTGCGATAATAACCTGCCAGGCCGAGGAAACTACGAACCTCGGACGGATTCTTCGATGCTGACCAGTTTTGGACTGCAGAAATTTTGGAAGGATCAACTGCAATACCTGCTGAAGTAATAATGTGGCCAAGAAAAGCCACTCGCTGAAGCCAAAATTCGCACTTGGAGAACTTTGCATATAACTTCTCTCGTCTAAGGGTCGAAAGAACGGCCCTCAGGGGCTCCTCGTGCTCCTCCTGGCTCTTGGAATAGATAAGAATATCATCGATAAAAACAATAACGAACTGGTCGAGAAAAGGATGAAACACACGGTTTATCAAGTCCATGAATACTGTCGGGGCATTACTGAGGCCAAACGGCATAACCACGAACTCGAAGTGACCGTATCTCGTACGAAAAGTTGTCTTGGGTATGTCTGACTCCTTGATTTTTAGTTGATGGTAGCCTTAACGCAAATCGATCTTAGGAAACACGCAGGCACCCCTCAACTGATCAAATAAATCATCGATCCTGGGAAGCGGATATTTATTCTTGATCGTCAACCGGTTAAGATCCCGGTAGTCGATACACATACGCATGGATCTGTCCTTCTTCTTGACAAAAAGGACTGGTGCTCCCCAAGGAGAAACGCTCGGTCGTATAAAATCGAGATTCAGCAACTCTTGGATTTGGATGTTTAATTCCTGCAATTCTTTAGGCGCCATTCTGTACGGTGCCTTTGAAACGGGTCCGGCTCCAGGGATAAGATCAATAGAAAATTCCACCTGTCGGCAAGGCGGACCTCCGGGAAGCTGGTCTAGAAACACGTCCACAAACTCACAAACAATAGGAATGTCATGAGGTGAACGTGCCTTCGAGTCATCTCCAACGAGGCTCACAAGATAACCCTGACAATCACCCCATCGAAGAATCTTTCTGGCTTTCGCCATAGAAATAATATATGGCAGAGTACGAGTCCTAGAGCCGTAATAAGTGATCTGATCATCTCCCGGAAGATAAAGAGTAATCTCCCGGTCGTAACATTGAATATCTGCGTGAAATCGAGTTAGCCAATCCATACCGAGTATGAGGTCAAAATCCCTCATCTCGATAACATAAGTATCAGTAATCAGAACACGGCCGCCGATGGAAAGGCTGAGATCGGTGGCTCTAGCATCAGTTAATATCTTTCTTCCCAAGGCTAAACTCACCTCGAGAGGATCGACAGCGGTAGTGGAACGAACCCCAATAGCTTCGAGACATCGTCGTGATATAAAAGAATGGGTTGCTCCGGTATCAAATAAGGCATAGACAGGCACATCATTAAGAATAATCATCCCGGACATGGTACCTGGGTGCTGATCGGCCTCCCTCTGCTCAACTGCAAAGATGCGGGCCTGCTGTCTGCCGCGTTGCTGTTGCTGTGGTCGTGGTAGTTGCTGCCTGGGCTGCTGTTGTTGAAGTTGCTGTTGTTGAGGTTGTTGTGGCGATTGATGTTGTTGCGGTTGTTGTTGCAGTCGTTCTGGACAGTTGTTGCTGAAGTGACCTGGCTGGCGGCAAAAGAAAAAAACGTTGTGGCCCATAAGGCATTCTCCACGATGGTGTTTCCCGCAGGTTGGGCATTCTGGATATTGTCTGGGACGGGTCCTCTGGTCATCAAGAGTGTTTCTGTACTTCCTCTTCTTCTGGTTCTTGGACGGTTGGGCAACTTTGGGCTGGGCTGGTTATTGAGTAACTAACTGAGCTGGTGTCTGGACGGCTTCACGTCGGATACTGGCATCGACTTCCTGTGCAATGGCAACTGTGCGGGCGTAGGTCTGGACGCCGTGGCCTACGATGTTGTGGCGGACTGCTGGGCGAAGTCCGTCGGTGAAACGATGGGCTCTCTTTGCTTCCGTACCTACAAGATCTGGTACAAAGGCTCCGAGACGGGTGAACTCTCGTTCGTACTCGTCAACAGTACGAGTACCCTAAGTGAGTGCCAAGAACTGGCACTCCATGTCTGCTCGGTAATACGAGGGAGAATACTTTTCTCGGATCAGCTCCTTGAACTGGTCCCACGTACAACCGTCTTTTTCACCGGGACTCATACTCCAATAGGCTTGCCACCAGAGTCTGGCATCACCGGTCAGCTGGATCTGGGCACATAACATGCGATAACGATTAGGGCAGTTCATGACCTCGAAAATAATCTCCAGACCCTGAACCCATTCGTCTACTACACGAGGATCTCCTTGGCCGGAAAACTTTTCTGGATGGTAGTCGCGGAACAAAGCGACCACTGTGGCCTGTGGGAGTTCCTGGTGATCTGGCTCTCTACGAGGAGGCATCTGAACATTGAAATATTTACCATGATTAAATAACATAAGAGATTAACTGACTGATTACTTAAATACACAAATCTCTTGACGAGTCGCTAAATAACCCGTGAATACTAAAGTCGAACAATCAAATAACTAGGACAATCGACTAAGTTCTGAATATACTCGAGCATCTTACTGGTTTCTAGAGTCAATAATCTAGTACCCTCTACTGAGCATAGACTTAAGTATTCATTTAAGTATATATAAACTGTAACTCAGCACTTACCTGTTAGTCGGCGAGGCGTGAGCGTAGCGTGGTCGTGTCTTTTCTGAAAATCTCTGACTTTAAAAGTATTCAGATACACGAAAATGTGCTTTGATACCAATTTGTAACACCCCGCTAGTTTACTAAAATCAGAGTGCGATTTTCGCAAATCCTTTTCTAAAGTTTACGTTTTATTTTGCGAAACATATCTCAGGATGCTACATAAAATATTTCTTTTCTAAAAATCCGTTAACTATAAACACATTTATGAAAAACAGATTATCATTATAAAACAAGCGCGTGATACTGTATAAAACTAGACCCGAGAACTCGGGTCGTCGTCTGAAAATTTACACGCTAGTTTGAAAGTCTGAAAACGTCAGCGGAAGTAAAACGTGGAAAATATATACAAATCAACAGTCTGCAAAAATATAAACATATTTACATGTACTGGACCGGCGCCCACCAGCTCCACTCACTCCTCCGGACCGACCCTGTCTCCTGAAAAAGAATCATAATAGTGGGAGCGTGAGTATTATAAACACTGTACTCCGCAGAAAGTCATACTAAAGTAAACATTAATAATAATTGCATCATCATAGTCAAACACATGTATATCTGCCTCTATCTGTAACTGCTCGTCAACAGTATAAACTGGACGTAAACTGTGTCTGCCGACTGTAATAATACTAGCCGGAACCATGTGCACACC